GTTTTTTGGATAAAAACCGCACCGCACCGTTGACCTTCGGTTTTTGCAAAAATTAAATCCGCACCATTGGTTTTTGTATCGGTTTCGGTTTTTCGGTTGCGGTTTTGCCGGTTTTTCTTTAGTCGGTTCGGTTTTTGCTCACCCTTAGAATAAAGTAAACGGATGGGTTAAATCCCACGGACCAAAACTGTTACCAAACAGTGTAATAGGGACCTTCTATGATCAAATCAGCATACTAAGACCAAAACTGTTATTTCGTGAAAACCATAGGGACCAAGACTTTAATTTACTCTATTTGTTAAGTTTGACTGAAATTGTGATATGGTTATAAATCATAATCAGTTGGAAAAGGCACAAAAAATAAAATAAAATAAAAAATCATGAACTTATCAACTTTCGATTTCCCCAACAAAATAAACAAATAAAACATTGTTTACGCTCATCTTCACTCGGTTTCTCCTCTACCAGATAGATCATCGCCATCAACAAGAGTGATTTAAGAGACGTACGCAGAAGGAACACATCATCGATTCGTTTCACTTTCAATCCAGAGGGGTAATGGAGTTCTCTTCAATACCACCACAAAGCAAAACTCCAAATTAAACACTTTGTGTTCATCTCTTTACCCTCTGTCAAAAATAAAGAAGAAAAAAACCCTAATTTAATACCCTGAAAAACCCCTAATTTCAATCCCTGCAAAGCGAAAACCCCTTTGCTTTTTCAGATTCACCCACAAGTATATCCAAATTTGATTTCTGGGTTTTTGATTTTCGAAACCAAACATGACCTCTTTGAAGCCCATTTTGTCTCACATCGATAACATCCCCTCCACTCCGGGAAAATTCAAGCCGGACAAATCATCTCTGTACTACCTTCACCACCGTTTCCGCCTCCATAGCACTGTCCCAAGAATAACATTTTGGTCGCTCGTTTTTCTGGCTTTGATCTCTTTATTCTTCTTTATGACGCCGCCTTCCACCACCGCCCCTCGCCGCGGCCTCCGTACCACCGCTTCCTACGGCGGATCGGGTTGGGAGAATCAGGTCAAAGCATCTGCTAAAATTCGTTCGCGCAATGGTCATTCGGTTCTCGTCACCGGCGCCGCCGGTTTCGTCGGTGCACACGCGTCGCTCGCTCTAAAACGCCGTGGAGATGGTGTCGTCGGACTCGACAATTTCAATTCGTACTACGACATTACCCTAAAGAAATCACGAAAATCACAACTCCTTGACCGCGCCGGCGTGTTCGTGGTTGACGGTGACATAAACGACGCGGTTCTCCTCCGTAAACTCTTCGGCCTAGTCCACTTCACTCACGTCCTCCACCTTGCGGCGCAAGCCGGCGTCAGGTACGCCATGGTAAACCCTAATTCCTATATCAAATCAAACGTCGAGGGATTTGTAAACCTCCTAGAAGTTGCGAAATCAACAAACCCTCAACCTGCAATCGTCTGGGCATCTTCTAGTTCGGTTTACGGCCTGAATTCGAAGGTACCCTTCTCTGAAAAAGACCGAACCGATCAACCGGCAAGCCTCTACGCCGCCACAAAAAAAGCCGGTGAAGAAATCGCTCATACTTACAACCATATCTACGGTCTTTCAATCACCGGATTACGTTTCTTCACTGTATATGGACCTTGGGGCAGACCAGATATGGCGTATTTCTTCTTCACTAAAGACATCTTGAAAAGACGACCGATTTCCATATTCGAAGGGCCTGATCATGCTACTGTGGCAAGGGATTTCACATACATTGATGATATCGTTAAGGGATGTTTATCGGCTCTGGATACTGCAAAAAAGAGCACCGGGAGTGGAGGGAAAAAGAAGGGCGAAGCACAGTTTAGGATCATTAATTTAGGGAACACTTCTCCTGTTTCAGTGAATAAACTAGTTAGCATATTAGAGAAACTGTTGAAGGTGAAAGCTAAGAAGAAGGTGGTTTTGATGCCTAGAAATGGCGACGTGCCATTCACCCATGCAAATATCAGTTTGGCTCGGAAGGAGCTTGGATACAGACCCACTACAGATTTGGAAACAGGGTTGAAGAAATTCGTGAAATGGTATCTTGATTATCATGGTGCAAAGAAGAAGAGTGCGTGGTGAATTGAGATAAAATCAGGTTTGTTTTAACTCATGAACCCTTCTTCCATTAATTTGGTTTGATGATTTGTATGCATTCAGCATTCTTTTTGAACACTTTAGTGGAAGTGGAAGGAAGACGTTACTGTTTAGATTGAGTTATGTGAGGTCATATGTACAGTCTGTTGACTTGGTTCCATTCAGATTTGTACGTACTCAGTGGTGGTCAGATGGATATAATCCTTACTTCCTATATCTATTATTTTTATTAGTTTTTAGTATTTAGGATGATGAATTGATGATCTAAATAACCTAATTAATAGGTTGGTTTTCAGGTTTATTCATCTAGACTTACTTTTCATCATAGTGTTGCATTGCATTGCATGGTTTATTATTGTTTTGGTTTTTTACTCGGTGTCAATGATTGATTATGCAAGTAAGTTAAGTGCTTATCTTTATAAGTTGTGTGTATGTTGGTTTGATTGCATGTTGATTTCATGATTCATAAATTATTCGAAGTTTTGATCGATTGTTAGGTAGGTATATCAATTAGATTGTATAGTTCAACAAAGTCCAAATAAGATTAAGCTTTTCATTGTTGATAATGTATCAAAGGTTGTGTTTTCATCCCTTGGATTATTGTTTAGATTGTATCCCTCTCTCTATAATTACATTTGATCTAGAAAAACAAGTATAATTAGTATTTTAGGATGATGTAGTTGTTGATATTACATGATGCAACTAATTAAATGTTAGAATAATTTGAAAAAAAGAAATTATAGGTGTTAACGAAGTTCTAGTGTCTTCTTCATCATAGATTAGATATGTTGTATTGTATGATCCATCGGTGGGATTTAGGTAAGATAACTCCAATTTCTAGACAGACATTATTCTTATTATCTTATATAATCTTGGATTTAACGTCTTACCAAATGAATACCATATTTCAAATGGGTTATCTTTTATAAAAATAAAGGAAATTAGAAACAAGTTGTTATTTTGCATAAAATTATAAATTACTTAGAATGAAAAGTAAGTTAATGATTTTTCTTTTATTTTGTCCCAATATATTTTAAAAATGTAATTCAAAAACAATGACCTCACAAAGTCACAACGAAGCCCACACTGACACATTCCAAATGGGCTTGTTTGTTATGTTTATCATTTATGATATTGATGGGTTTATATCACATCAAATTCCGTTTTAATTTCCGGTATAGCCGATTTAGTTAGCCACATTAAACAATTTACATGTTCTATGATCTATCTATAGCATATGCATATCACCATGTGATATCAAAGTTTGTTCCATATAAATTTTATTTTATAAAAATTTAAAATTTTGTTTTAAATTAAATGATATTTGTATATTGTTTTATGTTAATTGTAATCCATGTTATTGCTATTAAATTATCGGTGTTTGAGTTGGAGTTTGCTCATATGATTGTTGAATTTGTTAGAGCCTCTCTTATTATTATTATTTTTTTTGAACAGCAGCAAAACTCACATTAAAAAACAGCTAGCTAGAAGCTAGCAAAATACAAGATTAAGTCATTAGCGGATTGCGCATCTAATCAATCCAACTAACACAAGTCTTAGAATTCCTAAAGGAGAACCACCGAAAAGACAAATCAACAATAGTATCATACAAAAGATGCTTTTTAAACTTATTAGGGCTAAAGATGACACCATTCCTATAAGACCAAATTACCCATAAACTCGCCATGCAAACCGACTCCAAGATAGAACGATGCCTACTAACAATCAACAGAGAATCAATCCAATCAAACATCTCTGAAACACCAGGGTCAATGGGAAACGAAACATCCAGTCACACCCCAAGCCGTCTCCAAATCTGACAAGCCGTCTCACACTGGAAAAAGAGATGCGAAACACTTTCTACCTCAGACTGACAAATAGGGCAAATGATAGACTCCAACTCAACACCTCTATCCACTAAGACAGAACGAACAGGGATTCTATTTAACCTCAACCTCCACAAAAAAAAATATTAGCTTTAATTGGGACATTCCGATTCCATCTAGTCCCAACTCCACTAACTGAAAGAGAAATAGAATCAATATACCTTCTCATGGAACTAACAGAAAACACCCCACTTGGATCAAGACTCCAGGACCGTCTATCAGGAGTAGAAGTCAACTGAATAGGAGTCAAAATCTGTATAAGACTCTCTAATTGCTCAGCTTCAACTCCTCTAATTCCACGCCTCCAAGAAAAATTCCACCCACCAGAAGTCCAAAAATTCGAGACGAACCCATCTTTCAGCAAGGATAACGAAAACAACCTATGGAATTGCGTTTTAAACAACACACCTCCGCACCACACATCCTCCCAAAACCGAGCCACAGACCCATCACCCACAACAATTGAAAAAACATCAGAATCTAAGATATTCTCACTTTCCATTCTCTTGATACAATCCACAATTGTCTCCAAACTCCCCTACCTCCTGAATGCCTCAAATCATGCAACAAGCCCCCAGAATGATCATATAACCCTTTAATAAGCCTCACCCATAAGGAAGACTGCTCATGAAAAAACCACCACTTCCATTTAACAAGTAGGGCCCTGTTAAACGCATCCAAGCTGTCAACCTGTAACCCACCTTTATCCCTAGAATTAAGGATAATATCCCATTTGAACCAATGAATACGTCTTTGATCTTCCTCCATACCCCAAAAAAAACGAGCCCTCAACGACTCCATAAATAAGTTGATGAATAAGCTTTTTCATGATGCCTATTAATTAACTCATTTATTCAAAAAAAAAACTCAAGAATCTTGATAGTACTAAAGCATATTCATCAACTTATTTATGAGACCCACCAATTTTATTTATATAATTTTCTATTTATCATTAAATGTGAACAATTCCCCCAACAGTTTTTGAATTTAAATTTTAAGCTATAGGGAAATTATCAATAAAAAAATGAGTATATATAAATAATGTTTAGTTTTAATAAATCTAAAACTAACACAAAATTTGCCGTTTAGGATATACCATAATAGATGTAATATAAGCATCGAAATCGTTTAATACTGCAATAGTGGATCACGATGGTGAAATTTTAATGAAATTTGATGTTTTAGTGATACATTAAACATAATTAGTAGAATTATGGTAACGTTACTTGCAAATTGACGTTCTTATATATTCTTACATCAAACACTTAAGAATTTGCACGTTTAAATATATTTAGGGTCGGTCATTTTTTACCCCTTTTCATGTAACCAACTACTTTTTACATTTTAGTCGAATACATTAGTTAGATTATAATATTTCAATAAAAAATTAGATGAAAAACAACTACAGACGAAAACAGAAACGACTCACACATAATATAGTTATTAGGGACTAAAATAAATTTGATTTTTTTTTAAGAACTTGGACGTTCAACAAAGAGTGTCACTGTAGAATACATAAATCTTTTACCACCAAAAGTCACTAAATCTATGTGTATGTACTTCAAAACATTTGTTAGTATTAAGGTAATATTATGATTTACTAAAATAAAAAGTTTATATACATCAATTCTATTTTCAAATTAAAAGTTACAAAATTAGAAAAATAATAATAATAATAATAAAACAAATAGAAAGTTACATGTTTTTGTAATCATAGTCTGTAATCATAGTCTTGTGATGCTTATGTTTATTGGAAAATAGATAAAAATAATAGTTAAATTAATGCGATGAAAACTTAAAAAATATGAATAATTTGATCTGATGAATATAGCATGATATTTACTATAGCTTCTACTAAGAGAAATATAGAGATGATTACGGCTTGTTATAGTTCATGTATAATTATTGTACGAGTCAAAAGTTTGAATGCATTTTTATTGTATGGGTAAAAAGTTTCAAAAAGCATTGTAGAAAGTTTTATATATAAATTTTTTAATGAATTATTGGATGTCTATATAATGACATACACTATAAGCCTTAAGATAACTTTACACCTTTTCATGTTATATATGGACATCGTTTTCCACATGAAATGAACAAAAGAGAAAAGGTAAAAAGATGTTTTGATGGAATTATTCAATTCGACTCAATTTAACTCGTTTAAATTCACGATAACCATTTTGGCTTTTTTTTGGAAACATGTTTATATTTATTTGACTTATTATCCGTTTTAAATGATTTTCTAACATGGTCTATTATTTCATTTTGTCATGTATAAATAAAACCTAACTATCAAAATCAATATCATATGCATGGGAAGAAAGGAGGAACTTTGACGATTCTAAAAAAGGTTGATTTAAATTAAATGTGCATCAATCAATCACTTATACAAAGAAAAAGATGGATATCGTCCACTTTGTCAATCATAATTACATGCGATATTTCGCAACCAAACTCAATAACTTTAGAATTCAACAACAATTTTCTATTGGTAAAATACGAAATTCTTACAAAAATTTTAAAATACTTATTATCAATTTATTAAATAATTACTAAGTTTGAATTTTGTTTCACTTAAATACCTCAATAAGAGTTGTTAACTTCCGACTTACAAAAAGTTAATTTAGAAAAATTCTTTCGTTTTTATTAAATAAAATTACCAACAAAATAAAAAAAAATATATTTCGGTCTTTTTACATCATATACATTCCTATACAAACCAAACATAAAATAACAAATAATTTTATTTTGTGCCTGAGATATTTAAATTCTTGATTTTTTAATTTTCCATATTTCAATTTCTTTTATTTCAAAAAAATCTAAAAACTAAAGATAACTTTATTTTAAATCAATTGTGAATCGTTTATTTTATTGTTCACGCGAGATCAATTGTGAATCGTTTAATAAAAACTTTATTTTAAATCAATTGTGAATTTGTGCCTGAGATAACTTTATTTTAAATCAATTTTAAATCAATTTGTGCCTGAGATAACTTTATTTTAAATCAATTGTGAATCGTTTAATAAAAACTAAAAAAGAAAAAAAAATAAAGAAATACATTTGTTGGCCAATCAGATGAGAGAGAGTGAGGGACGGATA